CAAGCGGAAAAGGTCAGATAATGTGATGTCAGGAAAATGAACCCTCAGATGTGTATTTTAATGTTTTTTTTCTTTCATGCATGTGTTTCTAACACATTTATAAGATTATCTCTTTGTTGCTTTGTATGTCCCTCCTCCACAGTATAACCCCTGCTTTCAGTATATTTGATGTCAGTATAACTTGTGGAGGAGATAGGGAAAAACCAGTTGTTTAAGGATACAGGTGGACCTGTTGCAACAATGAGAAGTACAAGTTGTCATGTCCAAAACGAGCTTTACAACGTTGGTGCGGGGGGGGGGGGGGGTGGGGGGGGGGAGGAGAAGGATTGGGATTAGGGGGGGAGGGGGGAGGCTGGGAAGGGATGTGAAGGATAAACAAAGGAGGAGGCTGCAATGCTTGGTAAGAAATGTGCGCATTATCCTGCCCATGTAACTGTAACTCCTCTGTACAGTATGTTCACAAATAAAATTAAATTAAATTAAAAAAAAAATTAAAAAAAAATGTGGAAATGAACATAGTTGTGCTGGTGGTTCAAGTATAGGTGTGCAAACTAACTAAAATAGCAAGCAGAGTTCTGCCTCAGAGATCACATCCAAGTTGAGATAAGAAAAAAACAAAAAGCAACCTAAAAAATACAACTCTGAGACAGAAATGGGGGTCCATATGTGTGACCCTGATACTGAAAGGTGGTAAATGTGGGAGGCTGCATAACCTAGGACATGTCTGGCCTTCTGTACAACAGCAAGACTCACAAAAGGAAAAAGCAAAATAATAATTAAATACATATGTGACACGCATGAAGTATATAAGTGTGTCAATGAGTAGAATTCATGTTACTGCCCCATGTGGAGGAGCATATGATACATGAATGTGTCTCTGCACAAAAACACAATGGAAACCACTAATAAAACCTTTTTTAAAAAAGCCAGGCTGTCTAGATGCTTCAAGTCTTTCTGGGCCATGTATGGAGTACCATTTTCAGAAAACAATTGCCTATAGAAAGATTAATGCATGCATACACACATCAACAAAAGTACATATGCTTATCCACAAAGCACAGGATTCTGAGTATGAAAAACAAAGAAATCATCTTGTGGAGATCACAGTGAAGACCAAAAAGGAAAATTAAAAACAGTTTAAAGAAATATTCTTCAATGGGTAAGAAACAGAGGTCCACATGTGTGATCCAGGGAATGGAGGCAGAGATGGAGGCTGGACAGTTCAGAACACATCTGGCCAAGATGGCAATACTCTGTTCTCACAGAACAAGCTACATGTCCATCAGTCACTCATACAGTCATTCAAACAATCACTCATACAAAACTCTAAGAAAGACTGCAAATGGAACAATTCCAAGAAATAATATTGAAACTCAGTGGCTAAGGATGGGGAGTTGTGTGGACACAATCTGAAGAGAAAACTATACTAGACACCAGCAATCAAACAACTAGAAAAAACGCAACTTGAAGTATGCTTCAAGACTTCCAGGGACAAATATATAAAAAAAGATAATCCTTGAAACAAACGCCGATCCAGACAGTAATGCATACTTGGGAGGTCAGTACATAGTTAGATTCATATGCAAAAACTACACTAACTAGTAGAGAAAAAAATGAATTAGCAGCCAGGCGCTGGTGGCTCACGCCTGTAATCCTAGCTACTCAGGAGGCTGAGATCTGAGGATCACGGTTCAAAGCCAGCCCAGGCAGGAGAGACCATGAGACTCCTATCTCCAATAAACCACCAGAAAACCGGAAGTGGCGCTGTAGCTCAAGTGGTAGAGCGCTCGCCTTGAGCTGAAGAGCTGAGGGACAGCGCCCAGGCCCAGAGTTCAAGCCCCACGACCGACAAAAAAAAAAAAATGAATTAGCAATCAAGGAAACATAGACCTGGAATCCAAATCCCATCCCCTATCACAAATGAGAATTGAGAAGGACTCATACCAAGCCACTTCTTTGAGTCCACATTCCTGGCCCCCAGGTGGCATCCAGGTCCTGGGAGGCAGTGGCAACAGGTTGGAGGTTTCCTGCTCTCACTGTGGTAAGGAAGGACACCTTGGCTCAGAAAATAAAGATAAACATGTCAATAAGAAATATATCTGAATACAGAAACACATGTATATACATATGCAAGGATCACTCAGATGCATGATATATTTGTAGTTAAGATGAAATACACAAATGAATCACTAGAAATGAAATTGAACACCCAGGTAAATCCCATGGCTCAAAAGACACAAACAGTATGATGAAAAGGATGTAAATCACCGGCCCAAGCAGGAAAGTTTAGTGCAAACTAGTATACTTCAACTCAGAAAAGAGAGCCCTGCAAATCAACCTGGGCAGAAAACTCTAGGAGATTCCCTGTAGGCGTGTATTTCACCAAAACAACCAATTTGAAAGCATGGCTCAAGTTTAGGTGTGCAAACTATCTGAGCTAGCAAGCACAGTTCAACCTCAGAGATCACATCCAAGTTGAGATAAGAAAGCAAAACAAACAGCAACCTAAAATACACAACTCAGAGACAGAAAGCGGGGGCTCTATATCTGTGATCTAGATACTGAAGGTGGTACATGTGGGAGACTACAGATGTCAGGGCATGTCTGGTCTTCTGTATAACAGCCAGACTCAACAAAGAAAAACAACATATAAATATTAGAATATGGGCTGTGAAGGTAGCTCAGTGGTAGAGCGCTTGCCTTGCATGCATGAGGCCCTGGGTTCGATTCCTCAGCATCACATAAGCAGAAAATTAAAAAAAGCCGGAAGAGGTGCTATGGCTCAAGTGGTAGTGTGCTAGCCTTGATCTGAAGAGCTGAGGGACAGTGCCCAAGCTCAGAGTTCAGGCCCCACAACCGGACCCAAAAAATATATTAGAATACATATTTAAGCATGTATGAAAAATTTAAATGTGTCAATGAGTAGAACTCATGTTAATACAGCTTGTGGAGTAGCATATTACCTGGACACAAAAACACACTGGACACCACTAATCAAGCACGAACAAAAAACCAGGCTTCAAAGATGCTTCAAGTCTTCCTAGGCCACAAGTGGAGTACCATATTCAGAAAACTACTGAATTAAAGGTACATGCTTACATGCATACATACAGGGATAATACTATATATGCTTATTCAGAAACCACAGGATGAGTGAGCAAGCAAAGCAAAGGAAATCATTTCCTGGAGATCACAATAATGGCCATAAAGGAAAAATGAAAAGATTTTTTTATCAATATCCCCTTCAGTGGGTGATAATCAGAGGCCCACATGTGTGATCCAGGTAAGTGGAGTTATATGTGGAGATTGGACTGCTCAGGACTATACTGGCAATAGTAGCAATACCCGGTCTCACAAAACAAACAATTTATCCATCAGTCACTCATATAATCATTCAATCAGTCATACAAAAGTCTTGCTAAGAATGCAAATGAAACAATTCCAACAAATAATATTGAATCTCAGTTACTGAGGACGGGGAGATGTGTGGGTACAATCTGGGGAAAAAACAATCAATAATCAAACAACTACAAAAAGTGTAGGCTAGGATACTTCAAGATTCCAGAGACATATATGTAACAAAGACAATCATTGAATAAACACTGAGCTAGACAGAAATAAATACTGAAAGATTGGTACATATGTAGATGTATAAGTAAAAAGCAAACAATATAATTAATAAAGAAAAAATGGATTAGTAACCAAGTAAACAACATCCAGGAGTTCAAATCCCAGTGTAGACCCCAAATGAGAATTGAGAAGGACTCATCACAAGCCACTTCCCTAAGTGCCCACTGGTGGCCCCTACGTGGCATCCAGGTCCTGGGAGGCAGTGGCAACAAGCTGGAAGTTTCCTGCTCTTACTGTGGCAGGGAGGGACACCTTGCCTCAGAAAATAAAGACAAAACAAACACGACAATAAGAAATATAAATGAATACAGAAACACACGTACATACATACACAGGGGCAAGTCACATAAATAATAGAAAATAGGAAATATGTAAATAAATCAATAAATTTGAAACTGGAGTCACAGGTAAGTCCCATTGTTAAAAAGACACATATACTATGAAGGAAAGGATATATATCACCACAGCAAATACAGGAAACTTTAGCCAAAACTTTGAATCTTCTACTCAAAAGAGAAACCGCTGAACAATCAACTTGAGCAGAAAATTCCATGAGATTCCCACTAGGAGTGTATGTAGAGAAAAAAAAACACAGGCTGGAAGTGTTGTTCAAGTATAGGGATGCAAAATGATTAATGTAGCAAGGACAGTTCTGCATCAGACATCACATCCAAATGGAGATAAGAAACAACAAAAAGAACAGTCAGGTGATTACTGGTTTCTGGCAGGCGATTTCTGGTATGGCTACATGCTGTTATTCAAGAAGAGGATGTGGGAGGGGGCTGTCCTCCGGGCAGACTTAACTATGTATACATCTTGCATCAATATTTCTTCCCAGGTTCTGTGTGAGAATGCATATGTCCCCATGTGACTTGTGCACGTGTGCATGCTCAATTCAGCTGTGGGTGTGAATGTATGCAAATGTGTTCACACAGGTAACTTGTTGTCTGTGACATTACAGGAAGGTGTTCAGGCTCAGCAGGCCCTAGCTATCTTGGACTCCCACTACAGCCCCTCAGGAAAAAGCTACAGATTGCTAACAGACCTCAACCCTACCTACAACCTAGCCCCATCAACTCCAAGCTAGAGGAAACAGCCGTCTCTCTCTTTTTTGATACTCCAGGCAGATCTTTTTCCCACTAAACTAGCTTGTTATGAGGGTCACAAACTTGCGGGTAAGGCAAAGCTTCCTCTGCCAGCTCAAACAAACTGACTTAAGAAACCAATCAAGCCACAGGAAAACCAAACACCACAAGCAAACCAGAGACTTCACTAAGAGACTGGTTACAGATACAAGGGAGACACAAGATCCCACCCCCTAAAATAAAGCTAAGAACTCTTTCTTCTACCAAAACTTTATTTTTTTCCAGTCCATCTTTTAATATTTTTTTGAAAAATTCCTGACATTACAGAACTAAACTGAAATGTATTAATATTCCACTCTTACATTTTCCATGACAAACAAAAATTCATGAGCCAAAAAAACACACAAAAAAGGGGGAAGCTTATAAAACTAAATATGATCTCAGCATTAACAGCTGAACAGAGAAAGGAATTAAAACGCTTTAATTAAAAAATCACGAGTGGATGATAAAGTGTGCAGAAACTGAAAATTTACAAACTATTTAAAACCTGGAATCGCTGACTGTTCAGAAACTACATGGATGGATCATGGGTGGTGGAGGTGAACAGCAGAAAAGGTTTATGGATGAGTCTGCATTGTTCTAGCCACTCCCCATGAAACCCGTCTCCAAAGAAAGCCTGACATTGATTAGATATTGAGCCAGGCTAATGCTGGAGGCAGATCCAGTAATGGTAACCTGCCTATCAGTAGATCCTTCCACTGGTTTCGCAATTTTGATCTGTGCCCCAGACATCTGACGGATCTCCTTGATTTTGGCGCCTTGACGCCCGATTATGCAGCCAATCAAATCATTTGGAATGGTGAGTTCATGAGAAGTAGTCTGAGCAGATGCATCCAAACTTGCCCAATAGCCTTTCACCTCTGGAGAGCTAGATTCAATGCCACTGAATCCGGTGTTGCCATGCGTCATGGGAAAATGAGACTGTTGCATTGCCAATTGGTGCAGCTTGGTCAAATCTGGCTGTGGAATGGCATACTGTCCTTGAATGGTATAGGCCTCTAGAGGTGGTCCCTCTAGGTCAGGGTTGAGGCACATGGACAGGGTGGTGTGGGGAAAGCTCGCACTGTCGCTGCCTGTGCTGTACCTGTCCTGACCACCTGCAAAGATGACTGGAGAACTTGAAGGCTTGGGCCGGTACGGGATGGTCATGCCCTTCGGAGGGGACTCCAACATGACCACGCAGATCTGTTTGACACACTCAATGATGGATTGCAGAATGCCAGCAATAGTGATGGCCCGCTCAGTTGAATTGGGGAGCATATCCCCAGCCACCTGGACCTGAGCCCCTGTACTCTCTCGTATTTCCTTGATCTTGCAACCGCCTTTTCCAATGAGAGAGCCACACTGACTAGCAGGAACCACCAGCCTTAGAGTGACTGGGGATCTACTGGCAGCTGTACTATTGGTCATAGAGCTGCTGATGTCCTCTTCCAGTTTGTCAATGATCATGGCAAAGGCTTTGAAGATGGCATTAGTGGGTCCAGCCAAAGTGATAATTCTCTCAGGACAATTTCCTTCTGAGATGTTGATACGTGCACCACTCTCCTCTCTCATCTATTTAACGGATTCTCCTTTCTTTCCGATGATACTGCCAACTTCATTTCCATGCATAAGTAGCCAGATGGTGAGAGTGACATTTAATATACCTTCAATCACGCCGGTGTCCATGTTCAGCAGTGTTACAGGGAGCTGGACTTTGAGTGGTCAAGTCTTTGGTCACTGTTGGGGTTGAAAGCTAAAAACTGCAGGCACGAGGCGACTGAGGGGGAAAAGGGGAGCAGGCGGGAAGGGGAAGGGCTGGAGGCCGGGGGCAGAATAATAGGGGCAGGCGGGAAGGCAAGGGGGGCCCAGCGGACGGGTGGGGGAGGAAAGGAGAGGTGGAGGAGGAGGAGGAGGAGGAGGAGGAAGGGGGAAAGAGACCCCTGGGCAGGTGGAGGGCAGCAGAGGGCAGGCGGGCGGGCGGGAGGGGGCGCAGGCTGCGCCTGCTCTGGGTGTTGCCTCTGCTGGTCTCCAAAACTTTATTTTTTTTATGAAACATCGTTTTCTTTTTTTTGAGGATTTTTATTGTAGGTGTGTTTGTGTTTTTAACTCTTTTTACTCTTTTCCCTTTTGGTTTTTTTTTTTGGGTGATTTTTGTGTGACCTCATTGCTGATCAGCTCCTCTGCAGTTATATACCCATCTTCGATGATTAGACTTTATATTTAATTATGTATATACCTAATTTAGAAATTGATTACTCAGTTCACAAACCCTCAGCCTTAAATCTTCAAATAGTAGTATTATTTTTTTATACTCTAGAAAACCGTGAGGTCCTGATAAACAGCAGGGCCCAATAGTTAGGGTGACCCCATGGCCCAGTGTGCTAGAGGAGCTGGGCATAAGTGGTGAGCCTCACTGCTCCACACACCGGGCCACTGAACAGAGCAGGGCTTTGAGAGGCTTACCTCACCACCCAACAGGGTGTGCTGCAGAAGGGGTGTGCCATGTCACCAAAAAGGGTAGGGCATGCCCCCGAAAGAGTAGGGCATGCTGTTGAAAGGGCACTGCTGCTGGAGCAGTGGGGCATTGATCCCCATATACCGAGCTGTCAGGAAGGGATTGGACAGTGGGCAGCTTGGAGGAGGAGCATGAATGGCAGTTGGAAAACCGTTAAAAAGCCCTTAGGGAAAAAAGTACATATAGTACAGAGGAAGGAGAAGAGTTGGAGTGGAGGGACTGACGACAGGAGGAGAAAGCCTGCCAGAGCAGAGCAGGGCAGGCTTCTGAAGGACCAGGCAAGTCTTGAGGGGTCATTTGGTGCTTCTTGAGGAAGCCATTAGAGGCCTCCTCGAGGGGCCATTTAGGACTACCTCTCGAAGTCATTTGGGGCCTTCCTCTAGAGAGGGCTGTGGAGAGGCCCCTCCTGGAGTAGAACACGGCAGGACTGTGGAGAGTGGAGAGGCCTGCATGTGGAGGAGGAAGGGGAGAAAGAGAAAAGCCTTCCTCTTTGGAAGTTTAGAGCTTTGGAGCTTTGGAGGTCAGAGGTTTGGAGGTTTGCAGACCAACTAATTGGTGGTTGGCAGACCAACTAATAAAGGTCGGGGGTCAGTACTGCCTATTGGAGGTTTGGAGGTTTGGTAGTTGAGGCTACTCTTGGTTCTGGGTATCTAGCCCAGGACAAGGTAGTCTCAAGACACCTTTCTGGTATAAATAGTGTAAATAAACTTCTTTTGTTCACCTCTCACTGTGCCTCGATGGATTGTCTCACTCTCCGGAGGTCATAAGTTTTGGAAGCCCCAGCAACATAATCTATCTGGATGGCATCAGGCCTTGGCCAAGGAAAAACCTCTTCATAGGTGAGTATCTCAGCCCTCGGGGGTAAGAGCGGCAATCAAGTGTTTGTTTCCTGAGGATCAACGTGGACAAGTCATTTGGGAACCCTTCAGTTATGAGTCTGTAAAAGCTTGCCAGCCTGTTTTGGGGATCTCCTCGAGAGGTCATCTGGGGCCTCCTCAAGATGCCATCTGGGTCCTCCTCTGGAAGTCATTTGGGCTTCCTTGAGAAGCCACTAGGACCTCTTAAATAGGTCATCTGGGAGATGTGGTATAAGTGAGTTAAGTGTCTGTGGCTATTTGTCTGTGTTTGCCGATCATTCTATCCATGTATTGTATATACCTCTGCTTACTCCTTTTTTCTAGGATAGGAGAACAATGTCCTAAAGTAACTGTAACTGAAAAATCTTCTCCCCCAGTGTTACATAATCCCTCAGAGGAAGATCCCCAGTGGGCACTGCTGTACTCTCCCTCCTATTCTGTGCCATCAGCACGTCCAATGTTAAGCCCCCCACCATACCAAAAGTGGTTCCTTGTACCAGCCTGATGTGTTACAAGTTGGTACAGTCCCTTTATTACCCTTGAGACAGGCACATGAATGAGATGGTGGGCAAGTTCCCTTTCTAGTGTGTGTTCCCTTTACAACTAGTGACCTGTATAACTGGAAACAGCAAAGTTCACCCTTTTCTGAAAAACCCCAGGGGCCCAACTCCTTATTAGAGACAGTATTTTTCATACACCAGCCCACCTGCGATGATTGTCAGCAACTTTTACAGGTGCTTTTACCTGGGAGGAAAGGGAGCAAATCCGGCACAGTGCCTTGAAGACAATCCTTGGACCAGATGGTTTACCCACTGTTTGGAGTGAGTCTTTCCCCTGAATCACTCAAGCTGGGATTGCAACAGCGATGGAGGTAAGGAGGCACTTATCGATTATCGCTAGACTCTGTTAGCAGAAATACGGGCAGCACCTAGGAAACCAACTAATTTATCTGAGGTGAGTGAGACTGTACAGCTCCCCAGTGAGTCCCCTGCTGCTTTTCTAGAACTTCTCTTGGAGGCATATAGGACCAATACGCCTACAGATCCAGAGGCCCCAGAAAATCGAAGAGCCCTAAATATACTCTTTGTTACCTTCTCAGGCCCAGATGGTAGAAGAAAACTTCAAAAGTTAGAAAGTTTTGAGGGAAACGTGTTGTCAGAGTTGGTAGCAGTTGCCCAGCTGGTGTTTGATAACAGAGATACCCAGGAAGAAAAACAGATTAAGAAGGGGATTCAAGTTTTGGTAGAAGCACCACGACAGGAATCAAGAAAACCTGAAAGAATACGGTATAATTTATTTGAAAATGGCAGTAGGGAGCCTCTACAATGAGAACAGTGTACTTACTGCAAGCAAATGGACATTGGAAAAAGGAATGTCCAAGGAGGACAAAGACAGAAAATGACAGGTTAAGTAAGCAAGTAAGCGACCTGGAAACTGTGATCAACAAAAAATGTGGTGACAGTGGCTTGAAAAAGACTCTGAATCTCCAGCATGTGCCAGTCAAAACCAACAAAGAGGTAAAAAGTACATTGAACAGAAAACTGGAGAAAACTAAGAGAGAATTATCAGACATGAAGAAAAGATTTGAAGACATAAATCATAAACTTGTAAGAATCAAAGATGAGAACAAAATCCTCAAAATGAACCTGGAAAACACTCAGAATCAAATGGAATCCAAGTACATCAGTCTGGGTGAGCATGAGGCAAAGCTGGGGGCCACAGGTCAGAGTCTGAAAAAACGAGAAAGAGAAGCTACTAGAGGAAAAGACCAAACAGAGTGCTGAAAACCTCATGATAACTGTAATGCAGAAGCAGCATGTCCCAATGGAACAGGTGGAGGTGCAAAAAAGCCTCTCAATAGCACCACTGAAAACTTAAACAAGGAGCTACAGGGAAAGCAGGAGTTGGACAGTCAAAGGAACTGTTCTGTGACCCTAGAAGAACACTCGCAGGTTAGGGACTTTGAGAAGGAGATTGGGATCATGAAAGCGAGCTTGAGAGAAAAGGAAGAGGACACAACGGAAGAAGTCTCCAAGTTCCAGACTGAGGTTCAGAGTACTAAACGGGAATTAAAGAAACTAGAGACCCCTGTGGTTCAGGGAAACAACCAAGCTGATCACAAAGCTCAGAAGGCCATCCGAAAACCAGTGGGGGCTCTAGAGCTACCAGTTGTTAAGATTCAAGAAGAAGCACAAACACTGGTAACAAGTGTGCAAATGGGGAGAATGTACTTGTGAAAAATGGTTTCGGTCTCAAGCCTTCTGTCTGTTTCTATATGGTTATTGTCACCCTGGTAAATTCCCTGGAGTGCGCCTCAGCCTGACAAGACTATCCATTGTATGTAGAAATTGGCCAGCAGGTAAATGCTGGAAAGATGGAACATGTGGAGAGGGTGCATATGTGAGGAACCTCATCTGGAGAATTTTGGGAAATGGACTTCACAGAGGTAAAGCCTAGAAAGTATGGGTATTGGTATCTGTTAGTACTAGCAGACACTTCTCAAGCTGGGCTGAGGTTCCTGACAAAAACCAAAACCGCTCAGCTTACAGTTAAAAAATTGCTCAATGAAATAATTCCTCGATTTGGATTACCCTTAGCAATGGGGAACAACAATAGTCCGTCCTTCACTGTCCAAGTTACTCAATTTTAACTAAGGCCCTAGGAATAAATTGGAAGTTACATCGTATTTATAGACCTCAGAATTCAGGGCCAGGTGGAAAGAATGAATAGGACCTTAAAGGAAAGTTTAACTAAATTAATTACAGAGACTGACCATCAGTTGCTAAGCCTCCTCCCCTTTGTTCTCCTTCAAGCAAGATGCACCCCTTACGTTAGAGGATTCACTCCCTTTGAAATAATTTATGGTAGACCACCTCCTTTGGTTCCTAAACCTGGGAAAGCTATATTACCAGAAATGTCTAACCACAATCTTGTACAGTCCCTGTAGGCTTTGCAAATTTTCTTTTGCATGCCTCTCCTTTGGTAGCGGAGGCCCACCGGCCTCCTGAGAAAAACTGCACCCATTCTTTCCTGCCTGGACAGCTGGTGTGGATGAAAGGCATCACGCTCCTGAATTGGAACCCAGGCGGCAAGGATCTTACTCAGTGGTGCTAAGTACACCATCGGCTATTAAAGTTGCAGGAAAACAGCACTGGATCCATCACTCTCAAGTGAAACACGCAGTGGAACAATATCTAGAGAAGGCTACAAGATGGACTATTCAGAGACATTCAGAGTATTCCTTAAGGGTAAGACTTAA